AATTAAAAGAAGTAACAAAAAACATAAAACACTTACTATTTCGTTTTAATAATATAAACCATTTATTTGTAAATTTAAATACAATTTATATCAATCTTGTGCAGAACGGTCTGTGGCTCATCATCATCAAAAAATGCTGTTTGTTTCGAGTCAAACAGAGTACACGTCTCAAAATATTGGGCAGTTACACATTTTTTATTCTGAGCACAAAGGTTTTTGCACATATCTACGCTTCCGTTAGAAAAGACTTCGATTTGAAGAATTGGAAGACCGTAATTTCGACAGAATCCAGCGAATTTAAAAAAATCTGTACATCCCACGGTTGCGTTACATCTCCTTTCACACTCTGTTTCATTATCACGGCCAATATAAGTTCTATTGAAATTACGTGCAATTCCATACACCGTTGCATTCTCGAACATACAGGGGCCTGAAAAAATGTTAAATTATCAGATTAGGATCGTCACTAGGATATATACATATATATTTAAATTAGTTATAATTACTGATTAGCTGACGAATTGTCTGCCTGAAACACAAGGCTAAATACTTTGACAGGCAACAAATATCATTCTGGGTTTCATAGACTTACATATCAATACTAATAGATAATGGTCGTTTGGGAGAATCCACTTAAAGGAGCATTCCGCAAATTTATGAAGAAGATATGTGTCCCTTAACGTATCTGAAAGTTTTAACTAAATAATCCAGTCATTAATTGTTTAATTTTAAAAAAAAGTTCGTTATGCTTTTTTGTAAACTGTTAGGAAACTACTCTACGGATTTAAGTAAAAAAAAACCTAATTTTAGAGAAACATGTCTCCTATGTATTCGAAAGGTTTCAACTAATACTAGACCTGTTTGACAGATCTGTCAGCTTCCGAAAGCTGTATATAACGAAAACATTACAGCTTCGATCTCAACTCGAAAGCTGTATATAACGAAAGCATTACAGCTTCGAGCTCAACTCGAAAGTTGTAAATATCGAGCCATTATAAAGCCAAACACCAAAACTAAGTCAAACTGTTTAATTAACAATTAGTACTCTCCGTTTTTAATCGACCCTTTAAAAACAAATTTAGTTTGATCAATTAGATACATAGATATAAATAATACGTTAGAAATATTGTCAGGTATAAATCACGACATTTTTGATGATAATACTTTTTGACATAAAAGCGGAATGCCCCGTGCAATATACCAAGTTTTACTTAAACCGTTCTATCCAATAGTTTACTGCAAGTTTTGGCAAATATCACGCTTGAGTTATGTAATATATAATGTATAACTACTATACCTGGTCCACTTGGTCCACAATTCAAACCATTTCCCTGTAATTCAGACCCCTCTGGACACGAACAGTTATAACTACCAGGTTCATTTTGACATTTATATCACACGTCCATATGT